TGGGCGGGGCGGAGGGGCGATGCTCCGGGGCGGCTTGGCCCTGAGGAGGGAGGAGCGGGGCCTATGCATGCCGAAGGCTCAGCCCCCGGGGGGGGGGGGGGGAGGGACCAGCCTGCCTGGGACGGACTGGCCAGCGCTAGCCTGAAAACAGCCTCCGTCTGCCCTCCCTGCGCGGCACGTCACCCCTTTCCCCCACAAGCATTCGTTTCCCATTTGTGACATCCCCTGCGGTTGCTCCAGGGATGCCCTCTGTCTCTGCACATCGTGGTGGAGCTGGAGTTGAGCACGGTGGGTTTGTGGAGGTCGCCCAGCGTGGCTCTTTGAGGGGGGCTCCCGGGGGCCCCCCGGGTGTCCCCCCCCAGACGGGGACCCCATCTAGTGACATGGGGAGGTTGGCTCTGGCCGCTGGGTGAACCCCGCGGGGCTGGGATGGGGCAGGATGGCTGGGGATGGGTGGGCAGGGGGGTCCTGCTGGGGAATGGGGTGATGCCACCGTCCTGGGGGGGTGGATGGCATGGGAGGGGCCCCCAGCGGTTGGGGACACACTGGGGGCGACGCGGGGACCGTGCCCAGGCCAGGACTCCGTAGCAGGATCGAGCCACCCTCGCTGCCCCCGGCAAGATGGGAGACCCCTCCAGCCACTGGAGCAACCCCCAGTCCCAGTGAGTACCCAGCAGGGTGGGGTGTCTCCACCTTGGGGACCCCGAGGGCTGGGTGGGGAGAGGGGACTATGCTGCAGGCACGAAGGTCCGTCTGTCCGTCCATCCAGGGGTGAACGCAACAACAGCTCCCCACTCCAACGCTCCAAGAGTTTCACCCGCCCCAGCGGGAAAAGCATCTACAGTGAGTTAATGGCTGCACCCCAAAACCCCCCCTGCTCCTGTCCCCAACCTGTCCCCGTCCCCTGACCCCGCATGTCCCCGCAGCCCAGCGCAAGGACTACAGCCAGACCCTGCTCAAGCCCCAAAGCAATTTCCACGTTGAGGTAGGAGACCCCCAAACCACCCCAAGCCCCCCAACCTTGCCGGGGTGCCCCCGGTTTGCAGAGCACGGGGCGGCAGCAGGGCAACCCGGTGACACCCGGTGCCGCGTCCCCCCCAGCACCTGCTCACAGTGCGCCTGGAGAGGGACATCTGCAGCATCAATGACTGCCTGGCGCACCTGAAGGTGCTGGAAGCCCAGGGACGGGTCTGGGGGCAGGATCTCATCCTGCAAGTCAAGGACCAGGAATTGGTGCTGAGGGATGTGGAGAGCAAGGTACCCCCTTGGCCAGGGCACCCCCCGAAGCCTGGTACCCCCTGGCCACGGCACCCAGCTTGGCCATGGCACCCACTCTGGACCCAGCACCCCCATAAATCTGGTGTTCCCCCAGCTGTGGCACCCCCTGCAGCTCTGGCACCCCCATAACCCTGGCATCGCCCCCCCAATAGCCCTTGCACCCCCCTTGGCCCCAACACCCCCTCCACCCACCACACCCCCCAAACCCCGCTAACC